TTTTTGGCCCGACGTCGGTAAACGTTTGAAATGGAGGTTGGTTACAACTGTTGGTCCGACGTTGGTAAGAGGTTGTAATAAATATTAGGATGTGATTATAGATGTTGTCCCAACGTCACGGTACTTTGTTGGCCCGACGTCATAAACGTTAGTGGAGGTTGGTGACAACAGTTGGGCCGACGTTGTTTAGAGGTTGTAAATTTCAAACGTTTACCGACGTCTGGCCAAAAAAAAAAAAAAAAATGGGTTCGTGTGGGAATCAAACACACAGCCACCAGGTTTGCTATTCATTATCCACCATCAACTAAACTGCCTTTAAAAAAAATAAAAAAAATGGTCCGTGATATTAAGGCAGTTTAGTTGATGGTGGATAATGAATAGCAAACCTGGAGGTTGTGTGTTCGATTCTCACACGAACCAATTTTTTTTTTCTTTAAGGCAGTTAGTTGATGGTGGATAATGAATACTCGTTGATGACGTCGAGAAATTAAATAACAACAAAAACAACGTGTCATGTCCTAGCCTATGCCGTCATGGAAGCTCACTGGCTCCTGTGTAATTCATGTTGAGCCAACTGCAGACGAAAAGGTTACAATATTTTCAGAGATAAGCTGGAAGAAATTTTTAGGCAGTGCCCATCAATGGAAGGATTTTAAATACTGAGGAATGGAAGTTGCGATCCTTGGCTTGCTATTAACCGTTTTTCTTCGATCGTCGCTTCCAAACCGTCTAGGCGCGTCTAGCCTAAAGAAGGCCTACATACTATAGCAGGTCGAGATCCATGGAAAGTCGTATATAAAGATGTTGGTTACCCTCATCTTTATATTTGCACAAGTAATTAAAATTGTTTATTGAGCAGAGCAATCACACTGATTGAACTACATTCGGCTGATGCAGAGCAACACACTAGCAGATTCCTCTTCTTTACCAAATTTAAAATGTATATGTTAAAGCATTACGTGTTACATGTGTGTGTGTTCTTATAATAAGTATATTACTGTATTCAAATTAGGTTTATACGTAGCACCTCATGCCCGTAAATCAGAGGAGTGTGTCCATGGTGCTACGCAAAAACCTATAGAGAAAGAGGTTGGTGGTTAGTATCAAACCAGGCAATATCGTCATTCAGTTGAAAAAAATGACTGTCTGTTGTACAGCAAATCTAGATACGATAAACAGGCCCCAATTTTCAAGCACTGTTATTAAACTAGGCCTAGACCTGTGAAATGTATTAATAAGCCGCTATGCCTATATAGAACTTACCTTACATCAGTGAACTGTCCAACACCGGAAATATTTTCTTCATTACTTACATGACATATGAATTTCAGGAATTTGTTGTAGTACCGATATCAAACACGCTGCCCAGCGTTACCACTATAAGTTAACATAATGGAAGAACCTGTTTCGTTTAGAGTAGGCCTAGGCCTAAAATTCAGATATAGACGCAGAACTGTCACATGCATGTGATTGGTGCCATTTTTAACAGCACATTTATTTATATGCAAAATTGTGCCGTCGATGATGCGACAGTTTAGTCTGTAGGGAGCAGTTATATTGATCCTTGATTCATGCGTGCATAATCAAGTTCTTCGAATCTACCAACTGTTTTAATAAGCACAAAGTATCGTGCGATTTGCCGTGCGATATTTCCCTTCGAACTAGTGTGAAGGGTTTTCTCTTAGCACTAGTTACCCGTTATCCGGCCGGCGAGAAACAGGATGCAGTAATCAATCACATTCTTATGTTTTATTGTTGTTGTAGTAATCCCGAAGATTTAGTTGCAAGTGGAATATTTAGAATTATCTTTCGAGAGGCAGTTTTTGCATGATTATACTATGCTTATAGTTTTGGTGTAAATCTTACAGATCTCACATATTATATTAATAAATGTATATTAAAGATTAATTAAACACTGAATTGCTATAAGAATCAAAGAAGTTAGATGAGACTTTTATACCTGGTTTAACTAACACGCTGTCCGCCAATAATTTAAAAAAATTGATTTTTGGCAAATTAGAGCACCCGTCACCACAAAAAAATTGAAATTTCAGAAAAAAAATAAGTGTTTCGTTATTTTAACTATGCCTGCTGCTGCCTTGAAATCACATTTAACCATCCAATAACTAGACTGTTTATATTGATTCACCAATACAATTTTATTTTCTCCTCCATCTGGATGTAAAATATTTGGCAAAACCATTTCCTTCCGCCCTCACTGACGATCTTTAGAAAAATAAGTTCGCGAAACAAGGTATAAAAAAAAGTCTGGCCTTTATCAACTTCAAAAAGCAGAAGAATTTTTTTGCTGATTTATTTTAACTTATTATCAGCCAATTTCGGGGTCTATGCAGTATATCAGAACGTCTGTTCTAATGAAAACTGTTTAATTTTAAATTTAACTTGGTTTAATCATACAAAGTAGCAAATAAAAATAATAAAATTAATTTTAAAAATGTTTTAACCTCAACATAAAGACCTTTGTATCAACTGGAGTGAATATGTAAAAATAGACAAAAACAACAAATTATTTTGTATTATATTATATATTTATTATTGTGCAAATTGAATTTCCTGTATAAAATGTGAATTTACAATACAGTATCTTGATCTAAGGCAAGAGCTATCAATCTACAAAAAGTGCAGAAAATATTAAAACTTCATAAATAAAATCAATGTTAGACCTACTATTCACAATACTGTATAAAATCATAGTACGGTATACACATTTTTACAACATATATCAATTATTAGCATCAATGATATTTATACAGCAGATGCAGCTGTGGAACCAACAGAGGTAGCAAAACCAGCGATCCTGTCAGTAAAGTCTTCCCTGTCCCTCATCCAAATGAGAGCTCAACAAAATTGTAAAGGGTAAATAGAAGTGATTAATAGATTCAATTAATACACCTTTCAAATATCCTTGTTGTCAGATCTTCCAGAGGCTTCATACAGGTACCTAGGAGGCAGGTCTACAAAAGACTGGTACCTCTGAGAAACACAGTACTTTTTTAATGCCAGCAGTCACATACAGTTGGCAATTAAAATTAATTGTCCGTACAACTTCATCCTGCAATTTTATATTTGTTTAAAATAACTAATCAAAATCTTATTTCAAATCGTTTTCATGAATTGCTTGTTGAACTTGTTGGGACGTTTTGCCATCGATCTCTTCTTCAGGATTAAACAGAATTTCACTTCCTTTCACCTCTTGATCCTGGTCCTATAAATACAATTTTAAATTGTTAAATTTCCATTTTGAACTGCAATCTTGACATAATTATTGTAATATACGAATCTTGTTAAGAATCATAATTATAAAAACAGCAAAATAAATTTGAGATTTATTAGTACAGTAGAACCTTTCCTTGGGACACCCCTGTTAGTCGGACACTCCTGCTAATCAGACACCCCTATTTGGGGACACTTTTTCGGGCACTAAATGAGGGACAGAATATCATTTAACACTGCTGCCAACCCCTATTCAGGGAACACTCTTATTAAGGAGACACTTTTTTGGTCCCGAATGTGTCCCCTTAATATAGGATCTACTGTAATAATAAATAAATAATAAATACATAATATAATATAATTTGATTTAAATTTAGGATGATTTGAATGCAAGCTAAGCATCTAAACAGCTACACTCATTACTGTCTTCATTATTTAAGCAATATATTTGTGTACTATTTAATAGTCTATTTTATCTATTATACATAATTAAATTTATTACAGTATAAAAGGAGAAAACAATTTACCATGGGCCTGCAATTATAAGACTGACAATAAACACAAAACATTCTGAAAATATTAACAGAATAATAAAACAGATATTAAATCTAATATAATCATACCTGATTCATCTCAAAATGAAAGATAATAATTGGTGAAGGGGGTGCCTCTTCATCACTTGAACTTGTCTTAAGCGATGATGACTGGGTTGAAATGCTGCTAGGCTGCACTTTATGCTTTGAAAAGTCTGAGTTTTGAACTAAATCTGCAAACAAAAATTAAGATGTATGAGTTTATATCTGTTCTCCTTTTATTGACTTTATTTAATTTTAATTCAATTGAAGAAACATAGTAAAAAAAAATAGGTAGGAAGCACAACCATGAACAAGTACAAGTATTCCACAGTAGAGCTTCAAATAAAAGTCTCTTCATATAAAATCAATATGGCAATCACTGTATTATTCATCAAAAGCACATTTTTATGCACATGACCCCACATCAAAACCTTGCTTACATGTGGTACAATAGTTTTACTTAAAAACAATGTTGTAGTGTTATATTATTATATTACATGTATTAATTGCTGCAATGTATGGTGAAATAAAATATTGGCCAGAAGATAAGAATGGAAAACATGGATGAAAGACATGTTAGAAGATATAAGTAGAAAAAAATCATCAGCAAAACACAAGCACGGAAGGTACCATTGTAAATATTAATTTACCTTTGGTTTTTTGTTTTATTTTCTGTGAATCCGTCAATTTGGTAGTTTCTGTAGGTGGAGGACTTGCATCATGATTTTCTCTGCCTTCCGCTATCAGACCAACACCAAAGAAACAAAAGAAACACCTGTTGATAAAAACATATGTCATTAGATGCTTACATGTAAAATATAGGAAATGAAAATATGCTAGAGTGTTTCAACAGTACTCACTGATCATGTAGGTATAAATAATAACCACCTCCATGTACTTAAATAATTTCATCTTGTTTCTATTATAAATAAAAATGGAACAAACCAAGAAGAAAAAAAAACAGTAAAGTGGAGATGTGATAAATTGACTGATATTATTTGATCCATTACACTGATATGATAAAATCTCAGAAAACATAAAATGGAACATTTAAAAGCAATGCCGACGTATACTCACCCATATAAAAACATAGTAACCTGTAAGTATGTGAGACCCATGAATTCTTGGTAGAAAAATATACCTGCAGTTAAAAAGAGTGTAAAAATAATTGAAACATTAAAAATATATATGGAATAAAATAAAAGAGTATTAGATTTAAGTCAGTTTTACAGGTTTATATGCATTGCACATTCAAATCAGTGGAAGTCGCTCGTTCCCAAATGGTAGATCCGAAGTAAAATGCACTTGGTGTCCTTGGTAAAAAATAATGCAAAAAAATAGCTGACACTAGAGTTTTGAGGTTTCGAGCCAATCAGGCTTGGGCAAGACAAGTCTATTTTTTGCCTCGTCTTCTGCATCCTCTGTAAAATGTTGCATTGCGTGTATCTGGTAGTGATGATCTCATTTACTATGCAAAATTTTGCTGGTTGAATCTTTCTTATTGCAGGTGATTATAGTGTTTCAATGGCACAGTAGTTAAATAATCAATGACTACAGAAAACAGTTTTATATTTTCTATGGATTCAACTTTTACAAACACCACATTTATAGCTACGGTAGACCTATCAAGCAACCAATACATTATTATATTTTGTACATTTTTAATACCCCCTGTAATACAAATGGTACAGCCTACCTGCTAAAATAGCACTTATTGTAAAGAATACAAAATTTGTTGGTACAACGACAGTGGAGTCAAACTCTTGCATAGCCTTTGTTACAAATCTGAAAAAGGTTATGCCAGGTCATAAAATGTTCTATTTTTTGGATAAATAAGGCAAGCATTGTGAGAACAAACCAGACAAACTTGTGTAAAGCACAGCCACTCTTTGTTCTGTTTTATTATAGACACTAAAATGGTACTTAAATATTATACCTTTTACATTATCATCATATTCCTTTAAACAAGTATTTATGGATTGTTTTTTAATTCATTAGTACAACTCAAAAAATAAAATCATGTGCAATAAGGATGTAATTAGTCACAATTATTATTAATTACTACATACATATGTACTTATTTGGAAAAAAATCAAATAACCATAAAAACCAGGCATCCATGGGTTCTTTTAAGGACTTCTAAGGAAAAGATAATACATACTCCAAGTGTCGAATTGCACGCCATTGTGTCGGGATTCAATATTTCGACATTAATTATGTCATCATCAGGAAAGGACAATGTAGGGATTACCATATGGGATACCCTACCATACCATACCATATCATACCATATTTCAAGTACAGTATACCTACCTTATCTGTATAACACCCGTGACAACCATCAGCAGAATCATAAAATAAAATAGAGGATACACCAACTGAATGTCACCGGCAAATGTAATGTCCAACATTGATGACACAGCTTTAGCTCCAATTATGGTAAGAGAAGCTGAAAATAATAAAAATTTAACAATTTAAAATTGAATATTGAAAAATATAAAAATGCTTCTCAACATGTTCTCATACATTACATTCATTTAAAAAAATTCATAAGTCCATTTATATTCACTTGTAATTCTTACACAGACTTTATATACTTGCGTATAAGGGGACCCATGTACAGGACGACCCCTGAGTTTGAGGAGGTTTTTGGACAATTTTTGTATGTCAGGCGTATAAGACGACCTCCTGTTCCCAGTAAAATTGTGTTCATTTATACTAACATTTAGTAGGTTCATTGCAGTAGTAAATTTGCATGATCGGACGATCTGCACATAAGATGAACATCATTTCAAAAATCTAATGTGTTGGATTCCAGCAAGTTCATTTTCTAAGCCACTCGGCAATCAATACTGCTTCCTCCACTTGAAGGGCATCCTTTGCAGCTTTGGTTTCTTGCTCCTGCCTTTCTAGAGCCATTCTCTGAATAGCCAAATGATGTTTAGCCTTTGCTATAGCTTAATCAGCTCTAAATTATTCTTATATCAACATAACAGTAAACATGATAACACTATCAAACTCAGTATTTAATATATTTCTAATGATGTATTATAACTAGGCCTACACTCGGCAGCCACTGGCTAACCTAGTGGCACAGCCTCGGCAGGCATACGTCTTCAACCATCATCGGCCGTAGAATAGTTAGCAAATATATCTATTTTACAACTACATCAAATCATGTCTTATGCTTTGCACATCATCTCTAGATTCGGTAATTCAACAAGAACCAAATTACCAACAATCAGTTTAAATCCTGTCTCTTATACACATCTAGATGTGTATAAGAGACAGGTATATACTTGCGTATAAGGGGACCCATGTACAGGACGACCCCTGAGTTTGAGGAGGTTTTTTGACAATTTTTGTATGTCAGGCGTATAAGACAACCACCTGTTTCATCGTCTGAATTCCTACATTTTGCTGCTTTTTATGGTCTTGATACTGCATCTAGCTGGCTCAAAACAGAGCCAAATGTAAGGCTAACCTTCAAAATAATTCAATTTTATGGGTTTTTAAATATTAAATAAAATCTTATTTCCCAGTATTCCCAGTAAAATTGCGTTCATTTATACTAACATTTAGTAGGTTCATTGCAGTAGCAAAGTTGCATGTTACGGACGATCTGCACATAAGATGAACATGATTTCAAGAATCTAATATTTGTATGTTGCGCGTATAAGATTTTTTATTGCAATTTGCTATTTTAAGCCTCGTCTGTATGTTACTGCAATTGAGGAAACTCAAGTGGGGAGCCCAATAAATCTGTTATCCAAAAATGGCTGTCACCCCAAAACATAATTAGGTAATCCACCCTACAAAATCAAAAATTGCAGGGTACTTAGAATTAATAACTTACCAAGTATTGCTGCTGGCAGAAGGTAAAGAGCGACATGTTTTACTAAATGCACCTTAACAAGATAAATACAAGCAACAAAAATCACTGCTTCTACAACCTGTGAATACATGGAAAGGTTGTTTATAATATAATGAACATTCATTGAATGTGAACAGTAAATTCAATAAATTGGTTATTAGTTACACCAGGAATACTAATTAAGTACAACTTTAAAAAAATATGGATAAATGTATACTGTATAAACACTATAAATTTAGAAATGAATATCAATATATATACATAAAATTATAAATATATAATAATATTTTCAATGTGCTTTACATAAATTGATAATAAAATAATATTAAAATAGGCAACATTAAAATCATATTAAAACATAACAAATGAAATCACAATAATATAAATTTATGAAGTAATTGTAAAATAATATGAAAAATTGTGATTTAAACGTGGGGAAAGAGATTGGTGGTATGGGCGAACTATTAAAACTTACAAACTGTTACACACAATTATTTCAATTTTAATATAATGTAAGTATAAAGTATATGAAAACTAAAATCAAAATATGATGCCAATAATGGTTAATGGTTAATGGTTATTAATTTATAGAGCGCAAAATACAAAAAGTCTCTAAGCGCTATACAAGATAGGAATAAGAATGAAAAGAATATTTAAATAGCACCAAAACCCACATGACACTAAATGATATGTAAAAAAAGTCATCACCTTGAATTGAAGATTGATTCTATGAAATACCTTTTAAAGGTTGACAAACAATTTACTTTTCTTTACATGACCTATTAGAACAATGAATGGTTTGAATATATTTCAATGGTCAAAATATTTAGCATTAAAAAAAAAGAAAAAAAACAAACCACCACCTTATATTCAGTACAGTAATGCACCTATTCTGGCAATCTCATCCTACCCTACTTAAAGAGACAGCTCATAGTAATAAGTCATCATGTAGTTTCAAATGCACATGTTCATGTCAAAGGTCAAGGTATTAAACAAACAAATAACATGGTGACAGGCATATGCATCATCTAGTTTTTATAAACCTTTATTAAACTTTTGTCCATATTATCAAATTCTATGTGACTATCATTTGTCATTTGTCATTATTTAGATAGGCCTGCAGTCTCACATCATAATACCCATATATTGGCAAATCAGAAAAAGCTTAAATTTAGAGTATTATAGACAATTGCACTTCAGTATTCAGCATCTATATACCCAACAAATCTGTTTAAATCATAACACTTCACAAAAATTCAGGCAATAGTGTTTGTCCTATGACTTTGATTTTATGCTATGAACTTTGACATATCCACACACACTTTAAACTAATAGATGGCCTAATAGTGATGATTAGTTTACCCATTATATAAGAGTGAATGACTGCCAGATGTTTGACTGGCTGGCAGCTAGTAGTGTAAAGTGCAATAGCAAACATGGTTTCAAGAAAGTTTCTGTGGAAGAATTTTATCAAAATGTGTTAAAATGCAGAGGTTATCAAGTTAAACACAATGATTAAAATACATTATAAAATGATATACAGTAATAATATTTATCAGTTTAAATCATTATATATTCCAAAAAAAGTGCACACCAAAGTAGTTACATGGATTAGTAAAGAACCAAGCATGCTAACAGTGAATAGCTAAAGATTCACCAGTATTGTACATTAAATTATGAATTTTAGAATGATAGGAATCCATGGTACTATCTCCTATTTTAACAAAAGATTTAAAACCAAATGAAGGTAAGCACACACACACAGCAGACCTAGTTACCAGTGGTTTTAACCAACTACACTATGCTGCTACCAAGATTAGAAAATATTTAAATTTTCATGTAGAGCCTATAAAGTCTTTTAAGTACCTATTCCTAAATCTATCATCATGTGAAAAAAAAATCTTACTACATAAAAAATAAATGACCATTGCTCCAAGTGATGCTTCAGTTGAGTTGCATCCAAACGTATATCTTGCTAAAAAGGGAAAATCAAACAAGAAGATTTTACCATGACTTAATAATGTATAACGATTATTATATCAACAATATAATAATATAGTAGTTGAACACAAATACAAAAATACACTATTCAATTCAATGCAATTCCAATTCATTATATCAAATGACAGCATAATCTATATTGCATGATACTTACATAAGACATTCATTAAAGCTCAATACAAAAACTGGTAAAAAAGGACACATACATAAATATGAACACAAATAAATAGAAGAAAATAAACATAATTTTATATTTTGCATTAATAAACCAGTGCATGCTACATACATATCTGTATCTGTAACATAACAGATACATAACAGTATCTGTAGTAACAATACCAATTTGGTAATGTACATACAATTACCAATACAGTACACCAGGGGTTCCCAACTAGTGGCCCGCGGGCCATCTCCAGCCTGCAAGTGCGTGTTATGCGGCCCGCGAGAACAAGCCGAAAATAGTATTTTCCGTTCGGATTGGGCCTAGATTTCTATCCTTAATAATCTTGCATTCTGTTTTGCCAACTAGGCCTATATACTTCCCCACATTGTAGCGATTTAATCAAACAAATCAGAAGAACTATCGCATCAAACAGCAAAGAAAAGAAATCATAACACGCCAACTTTCAGCCAAGGGTAACTTTCTTAGGTCAAGGTGCCATGTATGAGCATCTAGCGACTATTATTTTAAAAAATAAAGTTTAACTTCCCCTCCCCTTGGCTCGCGCCCGCCGCTGCCTCATTGAATGGTGCTACACGCCAAAGTACACCACTGGCCCTTTAAATAATGAACACTTTTGGCCCCTATTGCGATATTGTTGAGAAAACTTGCAGTACACTATGATGGTATTTGAACACCAATACAAGACTGTATCTGTATAAAACAGTATGGTATATATAGTAGACACTACCAGAACAAAAATCAGAGACCTACTCTACATTCACTAATTAAACCTACAATTTGAATTATGTAGACAATTAGGTAGCAAAAAAAATGAAAAAAAACTTTCTCTTACCGATGTACTAAATGTAAGGATGAGGAACACTCCAACAAGTATTACAACTGTTCCTAAGAACAAAAATAGAGAACATCTAGTTAAAAAAGTATTTATATAGCATTAGTTATAATTATAAAAGAAAAAAAAAAATGTTGATCAAAATAGTTATTAGGCAGTTAAAACAAAGTTCCCTTTTCAGTAGATTAGTAAGCAAACTCGCACACAATGTGTACATATTGCAATTACCTACAGTATGCATTATGGGATGGGTTTATTCAGTGTAAAGACCAAGGATAACCCACAAAATTCTGAAGACGACTTATTTCCAGTGGGGTCCTTCTGGTGGTGATTGAGAGTACAACGGGAGACAATCCCCTACTCTTTTCAGAAGAGTGTACTGCATTCTTTAACGTGCACATTGGCCATAAATGCACACAGGACCAAGGGCTTAAACGTCTCATCCAAAAGACGGTGCGCTATTGTAACTTGCATTTCAGCCCTCTAGCTAAAACACAAGGAAAGCAGCGATGGGAATTGAACCAGATCTCCACGGTTCAGCGCACACACAGTGGCTACCACCAGCTTTGCCAACTGAGTATAAGCTGCTCTCTTATCTCAACTGTGTTACCAGGTACTAAGAATATAATTGTCTTGTCTACCAAATTTTCTTGCATTAATTGCTTCTATTTTCTCCTGAATTGCATCAAAAGATTGAAAACAATTTTATTTTTTTCAATATTATTGTTATGTGTTAAGTTTTCTAAATGCTTTGTAATTTCTCTTTTTGAATGACTTTTACTTTGCAATTGTTTTAATGAACACTGACCTAGGTTTCTTTTGTAGAAGTATTCTTTTATTTATTTTCTAAAAAAAGTGATTATTGATAACAACAAATAAAAAGTTCTTACCTAAAAGATCTTGTCTTCTAACCTTTTCCCCGAGGTATAATGAAGCTATGTATGCATTTGCTAAGAAAAATATGACACATTACAAATACTTACATTTCAATTCAATATCATACAGTAGTTGCAAATGTACAGTAGGTTATCCAGGGCAAAGAATAATATTATAATGGAATAATTAATGAATTATAAAACCCATCTGCTATCTGACAACAAATGCCTGCAGCACTTTTAATTATTCTTTTATAGCTATATGAATACATACAGTAAGGAGCCATGGAGCCGATTCGGACGAGTAAAATTTAACTGGGTACCACCAGCTGAGCGGTCGCGTGCGGCAATTAAATAATGCCCCTGGGTATAGAAAATTCGAAAAACATCTGGCCCAAAAACCCACCTTTTTTACTGGATATTTCAACTACACCTTGCCTCAAGACGTAATTAATCACTCGTAACAAGGCCCAGGTCACAAGTTGACCCTTCAGATTTGTAAACAACGCCGAGTCAGAGTGCACTGGACAAAAAGAAGCTCGCGACCACGCTGCATGATTCTTCGCGTTGTTGCTCAAGCTTTCTTTCCACGCTGGTCGTTGTCTTCGTCGTTGCTGTACTTTCTTCATCGAAAAGCTTGGTTTAGATCAAATCCGTCGTTGAGAAGCAATATAAAAGTTGTCAGGCCCAAGGACACAAAGAAAAGACAGCATGAGATTTAATCCTCCAGAGCCAGTAACAACTACAGTACACTGCACCAAACACTCTCACAATATGGGAACTTCTCTGATTTTCTGTCTAAAATATCTCATAAACAATGCTTATAATCTTGCAGAAAGGCAATAATGTTACTAAAAAATCTTTCAAAATTACCATTGAACTATAAACACATTAAACATTCCCAAGACTAGAAAATTTTATATCATAAAGAACACAAATAATATTTTAAACATTGTAAACAAAAATGACTGACATCAAAAACTCACCTAAAACAGTGGTTGTACCAAGTGGTGCCACAGTAGTGGCGGGAGCAAATCCATATGCCATGAAGTTACCCAATTCACCGAACACCATCAGCACAATCCCGAACCACCACAACCGGCTCTTGGTGTAATCATGCTCAGATGCTCCACGTTTTATCAGCTGCATGAGAGCATATTTCTGAAATCAATCAATTAATAATTTAATCACACAATTTTTAATATATTTACTATCCTGGTTTTACAGGTAAACTGAGTGAGGATATTGAATTGAAGAATTCCAACAAATAATATTTTTTTAAAATTAATTTTATATAGGTTTTAATTTTAAAAATTATTTCTTCACTAAAAATAGATAATTCCTGTTCTTCATAATCCTTAGCTGGTCATAATAATCAATTAAAAAATTTCAGTGGAAAAACATCTATGAAATGAGTAAAAATGAAATTGTTGTCATCATCAACACACAGTAGCCATCATATTCTAGTTTTATAATTAAAATAATCAATTTCAAAATATAGCAATTTGCTGCTTTCATTATTCTTGCATATGTTACTTTTGCCATGAAATCAGATGCATCATTAAGTGAGACCATATTGAGGATCAATCAAAATGCATTAGAGCAAATATTTTCATGCAAGCTTGATCTCAATGTTTGTTTAGCACTTTCTAATTGTCTTTCTACAAGAGTTGCTAAATATTTTTCCATAATGTGGCTAATTTTTTAATACTGTAGCTTATTAAAATAAATACCAGTGAAGATAATTACAAAATACTAATCTGAAATAATTCATATTAGAATTATTTCATTAAAAAAATATATAATTGAGTTTATTTGTAATTAGTATCTACTGTAAATAGACAACTTTCCTAGGATAAATTCATCTTGAAATATGAGTGTTTAAAGTTGAGGTTGAATCTGATATTGAGAAAATCAGCCTAAAAACTTAAAACCTAATAGATAGAACTGGATGCACAAAATGTGAAAGAACAACTCTTGTAGAAAGAAAATTGATTAGAAAGTGTAAAAAACATTTAGACCAAGTTTGCATAAAAAATGTTTGCTCTGGATGTTTTGAATGATCCTCAATATGGTCTCATCTAATGATGCATCTGATTTCATGGAGAAAGTAACGTATGCAAGAATAATGAAGGCAGCAAATTGCTATATTTTGAAATGATTACTTCAAATATAAAGTTAGAATATGATGGCTACTGTAGTTGGTTAATGAATATTATTGTTGACTTTTTTTATGTTCATTTTTTTGTGTTTTGTTTAAATTAGACAGTATTTTGTTTGTATTTTTAATAAATAAATATATTTTCTTTAATAAAGCTTGGTTCTAGCACATTGAGCCAACATTACGTATACTGGCGCCTTGTAAATGTCATCGATAATTATTACATTATTTTAAATACCATATTCATAAACGGTGACCTAGCTTATCTTAGAAGGTAAGCTAATATCCAGGAGCCTTCACAAATAAATGAAAATAAAACGTGACCTCAAATATGTTATCCAATAATTTTTCAGCATAGAATACTTGTGAGTTAATATTGAATTTGCTTTTATTATTCACTTGTTGACACAGTAGATAGAATGAGTAGTCCATCATTACAATTCAGTTGAATAAATTTTCATAAAAACAGCTCCAATAATAATCTAAAAGTGAATATGTGAGTAAAAAATATAAAAAAATTATTTATTTTCTTCAATATATTATGTTAATGAGTAGTAATGGGGAAAATCTGGTGCTTTAGTTACAAAGTCAAGTTCACATGTTAAAACTGGCATGAGTAATAAAATGTTACATTCAAATGGATTGATGTATCAGCTTGCTTTTTAGTGGTGTGTTACTAAATGGCACGAGTGATATTTGTAAGGGCATGTACCTGTATGATGTCATCTTTGGACATGAGCGATGTCATCCTCAATGACATCATCGGATGACGTATCTTAGATTTATTACCTGTATATTCATTGCTATGCTGATCATCAGATTTCCACCAATTGCTAAAGATCCTCCAATAATCAACTCCTAAAAATAAAATATGATCATTTTCATATTTTAATTAACATTCATCTTCAGTTTAACATTATGTGACATCAGGTGGTAAATATAAAAGCAAAACAATTTTTATTTGTTTCACAATGAATACACAAATTACTATATTTGTAGGTTGTATATGACCAACACTAGCTTTTGGCTGTGTTTTCAAGGTGATTCAATTTAAGTTATTTGGAAATCACTTTTGATACAGTGGCACACGAGTACTTGGTGCTTCGAAAAATAGAACAATCAGAAATAATATAACTACAAATATAGACAGAAATATATAAAACTAAACAAATGAAATTCCAGTTAAGAAGATTATGTATTTAAAATCTGCTCAAATTAAGTTCAAATGACCTTCAAAAGCAAACACTTAATTTTACAATATTTCATTTTAATTTTTAGATAGTCCTAGATGCTTCTACTACAGAAAGCATAGTGTTGTAATTGTTTGTTATATTTTCGTACTGTCGTTTATAAGTGTCTTAGTAGGATTGTTACAGTATGTGAGCCATATCAACCTTTACATACCGTCAAACCAAAATAATTATATAGAAATAAATGTGTCTTTTTAAATCACTGTACTGTAGTGCAATCCTACAGTTTATCATTGCACTTTACTTGCTTCTATGCATGACTGCTCCATTACTATTGGCTGTTCAGCTCAGATACAAAAGGACTTAAAGTCAAAGATATGTGACCTTTGTATGGATCAATCCATGAATAAATCAACTTCATGATCTCTAAAGGAAAAAATAACCATGGGTCAAAAAAAGATTATTGACCCATGGTCCGAGCAATCATCATATAAATTATACAGTAAAACGGTACAGTAATACTAGGGTTCCCAGGTCTCCCAGAACATGCTGGAGTCGCCCAGAAATAAGTAGGGCATCCCACACTCCCGCAAACAAGCAAGAATCTCCCAGAAAATAACACATTTCCTGCAAATTCATAATATTTACATGTTTTCACTGCTTTATTATCAATTGTCTCGCTGAAGTCAGAGTCGATTGGTATCACAACTGCAGCAATACTAAAATTAAATGTTTCCAGAAAGCTCATTAACCAGATCAGTGGCGGATTCAAGGGTGCTTTTTTTTCAAAATTATATAAAAAATGGAGAAAAGACGAAATTCATACTCAAATTTTAATATGAGAATTCTATTTCTGAGGCCATCGAGAGGTGCCATAATCATAAATTTTCTTAATACCTCAGCCACAACCATGATGGGGCTGAGGTGGTGTACTGTACACCTTCAATTTGTAAAAGTCTCTCCCTGCACCCCCCACCCCCCTATTCTCCTGGAAATGACTTCTTCAAACTTGGGGCCCATTAATACAGAAAAAAAAAACCATAGTTTATATTATATTAGGGCCCATTAAAAATGGCTAATATATTTAAATAATCAGATGACTGATATATTTTAAAAAGCAGATATGATAAGCAACTCAATCGAAACTTCAAGTTAGATCTATAGTTACTGTATGTTCAGACGACCTTCCGTCTGAAATAAAGTTACGACAAAAGTAAAATTTTACTTCCGACGAATGTCCACACGATGTTTACCTAGGACAACTAGTTCAAAGCTTAGAAGCAACTATGCAAATTTTCCGGAAGTGATAGTCAACACTTAGCTGTCTCTTTTTTACATATTTTTTTTTGAAATTGTAAACAATTATGAAAACATCGTGTCTACAAAGGCTTACACATCACAGGGATGTTATTTTGGCATTCATTTGTAGGAATTTATCTTTTAAAAATAATTGAGGTCAAAATAAAGGTCGCATTTATTTCCGAGCTCTGAAATACTGTAAGTGCGTCTACACAGCGCTACACCGAGCGCGTATTCATTATCTTACTTGTGTACGCGGAAGTAGCACACTTACTTCTGAGACTGCTCAGGAGTAAATCATCTGTATTAAGGTTTAAGTAACTTAATACAAAGAGCATCTTCACGGGCACTACCCAATGCTTACGACAAGTAAACTGCTACTTCTTCAAAGCTTACTTCTGACTCGTCTGAATGTGCCTTTATGTGATGTACAAGCATTAATACTTTATGTACTTAATAATAACTACCTGTAATTTATTTTATGTATGTTTGTAATTATTGTAAGAGAAATAAAGTGATATTATTTGTTAGTAAGTAAAATGTTTACTTATTTACTGACATCAAAAAGCTAGAGAAATTGAATTGCTAATTTTTAAAGAACCACTGTAAATTATCAACTTTATTAAATCAATGAATGAGTCTAATGATTTACAGACTTTTTTTTTATAAATAATAAAATTACATGGCAGCAATTTGTATGCACTACACAAATGGTTTATTCTTGGAGAAGAATTTTCGTCTCATTCTAATTTGAATGCTAATAAATTAATAATAAAAATAATAAAATAATTACTGATAGGCCTACTGTATTCATATTTTTTTATTTAAAGTTTTTTAAATGCTGAATGTGAACGAGGGAGGTATGTGTGAACAGTGCAAATGCAATCCTACATTGAGAAATTCGATTTGGGGTGAAATGTCTGAACGGGGAACCAAACCAAGCAAGATCAAGAACATAAGAAGGTCCTGGACGGAGAAGGGGTTACTCCTCGGGGATGGTAAGGGAAAAATGTATATGTTAAAAAAAAGGGTAAAACAGTGCTTTTAGACTATAGACTAGCCTAAGCCTACATTGTAGAAAATGCTTGCCTTTCAGGAAACATTCACTAAACCTAGTCTACTACAGTAAGCCCAAGGAGATACCTCCTTGGTAAGCCTATGCTAGCCTCAGAGTCATAACCTTCTCTGGCCCTGAGAACCCAGACGATATACAACCTCACCTTTTTTGACGGTTTATGGTCGCTGTGAGGCACTACGGATCCACTCCCTGTAGACATGATTAAGTATCGTTACTAATCTTCCGATTACCTATGAACATTTTGCTGTATAAAGAAGTTTTGCTAGTTTAAAGCCCCAGAAAACGATAGGCCCTAAGCCCTAAAATTTGTTCACAGCCACGGAGAAACAAACTGAGCTGCAGCTACTGTCACGCTAAGTGGCGTCGCCCACATACACTGTGAATAGTCAAAGTGTTCACTCGGGCATAAAGTTTGCATTCTTCATTGTCATTGGTAGATTTAATCTGAAAGTATAAACCACAGTTTAAATAACTTAAAAGTACAATGATAAAAAAAATCATTGATAATATGACAGAAACACTTCCAATGACCGATAACCTTATCCAGTGTAAAATTGGCAGTATTTTTTTAAATAGGCCTAGGTGCTTATGATTACCGGTATGGCACCTCTAGATGGATGGAAATATGGCAATCTCAGACTTAAAATTTAAATAGAATTTTTTTTTCCTCAATTTTTTCTTTAATTAAAATTTAGGGGAGATAGTAGGGGTGAGGGGGGGGGGGCTAGGCCAGCTGCTTTCCACCCACTAAATCTGCCACTAATGGTTTTTCATTAATCACTTATTTGATCTTGCATTAGACCTATTTTATGTGTTATACAAATTTTTCTTATCAATTTTTAAGCTACATCAAAATCACCTTCTGTATAGACTATTGAACGGAATATTCACCAGTATCTTACATGCTTTTTTTTACTGCTTGATTATTTTTTTAAATATTTAAAGTACATTAGGTGATACATAATAAAATATGTAAGGCATTCTTTTTTTTTTTTTTTTGTTAGTTTATAAACAGTTGTATAAATTCTGTTATCCACGGCTTTAATGTTCACTCTCTCATCTATACGTTCCGTTCATTAAGTAGGTTTATTATTATCTTTGTAATTGTCCTTTGTTTTTATGTTGCAGTTTTTAAGGCGTTAAAGCTTAACTCATTTTCTCTTGACATTGAAATACAACTGGTAGTGACACATATTTTTGTTCACAACTGGAGTTAAAATGATTCATGTCATCTTCCTTTAATATGTTTACTAAGAAATTCAATGCAATATGATTACTTCAAAAGTTATATTTTATTATTAACCTTTATTTCTAAAACATTTTATTTTGTTCTCTTATTTCATTCCTTTTTATCAACTGTTTTCATTATAAATATTGAAATCTCTTATAAAATGTATAAATATTTGGTTGTAATTGTAAATGAACAAAAACTAAGTGGTTTTAATATGTGTAATATCAAAGTTGATAACTTGATCATTTTAAAAATAATTCAATGATTTAATTATTTTTGAAGATTTTTTTCCAAATTTTACCAATTAAAATGGAGCTGTAATATATTTATATATTTTAATTGTAAAAATATGATGAATTAATTATAGATAACTATTTAATGAGAAACATTGTTTGAAGGTTTGCATGGCAAGTAATAATATATTTTAAAAAACTGTTGTTTTTGTTGAGAATGTCTCGACGATTCGATTGAGTTGCTTCAATCGTCATCAGTATGGTTTGGTCATATACAACACGCTCGTATATTTTGGATAAACATGACAACATTGATATTGGCCTATAATTACGTATTTCATCATTTTTACCATGCTTATACACAGGTATTGTTTCAGCTATCTTTAACTCAGTTGGAAAAGCTCCTGTTGTTAGAGATACATTTGTTATATGACAATGGTTTAGCGAGGATGTCGGAATTGTTCTTAATGTATTTTGCTAGTATTTCGTCATGAACACATGATTTATTTGTATTTAATTTATCTAAGTAAATTTGGACATCATACTCAGTAACTGCTCTGAAAAACATAGAACTTGCAATATGTTTGTTATATATGCTGTTGGATTCTTGTTTAGAGGTTCGGTGTCTGTCTGTTCTGCTATGTGTTTTCCTATGTTAATAAAATATGAATTAAAATGCACTGCTTTTTCTGAAGTGGAGTTAAATGTTTGAGCTATAGTCTCATTTGTGATGGAGGGTTTGATTTAGGATTCCTTCCCAACATTTTGTTAACAATTTTCCACGTCTCTATTGTTATTGTTGCTTTTCTCAAATTCATTTTTATAATAACTTATCTTTCTATTTCTAATGGTCGTTAACATGTTACATATAGAAATTAAATATTTTAATTTATTTTCTGTTGTGGGTTTCTTTTTGAAAATTTTAAATAACTTTTCTTTAGAGCGGATTGATTTTCAGTCCGTCCGAACTTTACTTACAGGAAAGCACCTGTTGACTATTGATGTTAATGTAGTTGGTACGCTTCATTTGCGTCATCGCAGCATACCAAATTTTCCCATTGTTGATTTTGAAGCTCGGCCCTGAACAATTGTTGTTGTTGGACAGAAATGTGCCGTTTAAAAGTATATTTACAAGGATTATTTATTTATTTAGCTGTAGCTTAGTTATACAAAATATGGGGAAGTGATCGGATGTATCAGAAATTAGAATTCCTGTGTTTATGTACTGTGGTTGGTGAAAGTTTGTGTAGAAGTTGTCAATGACTGAGGCTGTGTTAGTGGTGACTCGAGTTGGCTTAACCAGCTGTACGAATGAGTTTGATTGCACAGTATCTACATGATTTTGTTATTGGTGCTACACAGATTGAGATTCACCCATCAGGTACGATTGCTTTTTCTCATTATTTATAATTTGAATAATTTCACTGAATACATCGTTGAAATTCTGAATGTTTGATTCAGGGGGTCTGTATATTAAACCACAAATAATATATTTGTGATCAGTTTCCATTTCTACTACTATACTTTCTGCTTCAGTTAAGTAAATTAGATCATTTCTCATAGTATAACCTATGTTAGTATGTAGGTACAATGCAATGTTCTATATTTAAGTGTCAAGCACTCGCTATAAAATAATTGTTTTATTCTAGAGGGGGCTATATAAATGCCCTTCAGTTCATAGGTTGTATAATTGTGATCTTTGTAGTCCTTTTTATATTGTTTTGAAATACGTTGAAGTTTTCATCGTCATCAGAATCGTCGTTATCATCAACAAAAACATTACTCATTTTCTCTTGACATTCAAACACAACTGGTAGTAAAAATTTTTGTTCACAATAATAGTGGTGGCGCTTTCTGTCATATTCCCTTTAGCTGTTTACCCCGAAATGCAATATGGTTTACTTATAAAATTATATCTTTTAGTTGTTCTATTATTATTTCTTAACAAAAAAAGAACACATTTTTAATTTTTTTCTTTTAATTCATTCTTTCTTCAATTGTTTTCATTTATAAATATTGAAGCCAATCTTAAAATGCATATATCAACTCTCATAAAAAAATAGAACGGAAATATTTTTTTTTCGTGACACTTTACATAAACAAATTCTATATCATTTGTGTACACATTTAAATTGTCTGTAATCATTTATGAATTTCAAAGTACTGTAAAAACAAAAATTGCAAATAAGCTAACATTTAAATGTTTTGATCAATGTGATTCTAGAATTCCCCCCCCCCCCTAATTTTACCAATTAAAATTGTACTGTAATATATTTCTATTGTTAAAAATATGAATTAATAATTATAGGAACAAGTTATTATCTTGAGTAACCTACTTAAGTAAAATAGCATTATATAGCTATGTCTTAAGTCTTAAGCACTCCGTATAAAATAATTCCTGTATTCTAGAGGGCGGCTAGTTCATAGGTTCCATACACTAACGACTGTTAACAGAATTAGACATTAAATTTTCCAGATTGAATCAACTCTGTCCAAATTTTGCCACTGGGATACTCGTATTCTTCTATGCACTTAGCTGTGAGCTCAGAAGAGTAACCAGCCTCCTAAAAAAAAGTGAAATGAAAATGAATCTAAATGCAATTAAGGAGGACACTATATGCAATGTTTATTCTACAGACAATTTTTGTATAAGAAAATTGTAACAATTAATTTGAAGAGACTGTAAACAAATAATAGAAAACTGTGATTGAATATGTTATAAGAAAATAGAACTGTAAAGCTTTAAGAACTTCACTAAGCTTCTTTATGATCAGCACATCATTAAAATATTAATAATTTTATTAATTGCTATAATCATTGTGTTGGACAAAAAAATGTATTTGTTTCAATCAAGTCGAAAATCAAGAATATGGAACTGAATCCCATTCCAATGATTCTTAACTCATTTAGTCATTTAGTGGAACTAATTTGCCACCATGGTGGGGAGGTGGGGTCCACAGTCTTTAAACAATTATTCATAATTCAACGATGCATCATGAACCTAATTTTATTATTAATAGTAATTGCTATTATCATTGTGTTGGACAAAAAATGAATTTGTTTCAAAGTGAAAATTAAGAATACGGAACTGAATCCCATTCCAATGATTTTTAACTCATTTATTGGAACTAATTTTCCACCATGGTGTTGGGGGGGGGGGGTCCACAGTCCTTTAAAACATTATTTATAAGGCCAGGATACATCATGAACCAATAAAACATTTAGTTGGAATCAGGGAACAGTGACATTTCACTGTTCCCTGGTTGGAATCAATTTTACCTGTGGTGGGAGGTAGTTTGTGCCTTTCATTCTGACTGGATAAACAAAATTATCACGTAGATGTTCCACAAATTCTATCACTCTGAACAGAAAAAGAATGCAGAACCATTAATTGTGTTTCATTTGGTATACTAAAGTACAATCATACCAAATTATTAAACAATAGTAAACATTATTTTTTGTCAACTACACTGCTTAGGTCTGTTTTCCACTAGAGACGAATTTACTCGCGCGAATCAAAGGCGTCGGTTCGGTTCCTGAGCTTCGATTGGTTGCGCATTTTTTTCGCTTCGCAAAGAGTAGAAACAGCTTGAACTACCGATTTCACTGAAGCAAAAACTCTGATAGAAATGTGAATGCGCATGAAGCAAATAAATTTGCGAGTGGAAAACAGGACTTTATGTAAAGCAGGCACTGACTGCGTTGTACAAATCCAAGTGCACTCTCCGTGAGCACGAGACACGATGTCGTCTGCTGATTGTCGGTGACAGTCTGAACCGATCATCATTAAAAACGATCCATTGTGCATCCGTCGTGACGTTGCATTTCCATAGAATCGCGTCAGCCGAAGACTGTCAGGCAGAGCGAGTCCCTGGCTTTTGATGCCCACATACACGTAGCTGGCTAGAATTGACGGGATTGCGTAAAACAACGGTGCGAGGTTCTGTTATTTTTTGTTCTTTATAATTATTTTGTTTTCAGGATATTTTCTTGCTTTGATTTTTTATTCATATTTATTTTTAAGTGCCTTAATATTATGAGTATTGTTAAAGTGCTACTGAAGCTCTCTGCCCTTGCTAAGATACTTAATAACATAGTGTAATGTTTATTCACACTTCAGTGGCAGGCAAGGGCAATACAGTATGCCTATCCAATAGCAATACAAGGTAAGAATACATTTAAAATAATTGCCTAATTATAAACAAAGACATGATAAAACATTTCCTTATAAAAACTGTAATTTTTAATATAGATAAACACCGCATTTATTTATTATATCTCATACCTGTTTTGCATTGTTCCAGACACACAGCAAAAATCAAACATACTTATATGATGGACCAGCTCACACAGCAGAACGCCACCGGCATGTGGACACACAGGAACTGAAGAAAGACAAGGGATGATATTATTCATCACTATTGAAATATTTGTTTGTATAATTTTGCTGGGTGAGCCAATTCTGGGTCAAATGTCACCATGTGACTTATACCCACAAATTATGACGTAGAAGATTCTCAAAAATTGATAAATTGCCACAAGAAATCTTACAACGTAGACCATACTGTAAGTACCATAATATATCAGTAAGAATAAGGGGAAGAAGAGTGAACATGCCCTGCTTTCTTCCACTATTAAAAGTTCAAATAAGTTCTTACCATCAAATTTCTTAGCCATCAAGAGAATGGCGAGGAGTTCATTGACACTGCCAACACGACAACTGTCAATCTGCAAAAATTGCAGAGAACCTGCTTGAAGCATCTGCTTGAAAATCACCCTGTTCTGACACATCTCACCAGTGGCAACACCAATGCCCAGAGGGTTCAGGGCCTAGAGAAAAACAGAGTGGTCAAGACAATTGTCGTCAAGCACATGGAATGTTAGCATTTGCTATTTTTCTTTTAAATTAATGCAAAATCAGTAACAAATATGCATTTCTTGGTACATTTGTTGAAAGAAACAGAAATGAATAGCACTTTTGCCACTTAACCCCTAAGTGGAAAAAATACCCTTAAAACACAGGAGGGTAAAGTGCGACCAGGTGGCCAGACAGTGATTTTTTTATGGTCTGCAAAACTGAATTAAAAAACCCAATGTGTGTGGCTTGATAACCATCTTTGACTAGAAAAAGACTGTTTTTCTACGGTCCGACACCGATCATCTGTGTTAAATCAAAAATACACTTTGGCCCCCGACCAATATTTATGCCTACCCCTGCCTTAAAATCAGTAGTAAATTTGTTGTGCGATATCAATCTAATGACCAAGTCTAGTTGACACAACAGCTAAAAAAACATGTTTTCTTTAAAACTGTTCTTTACTAGCATTTTCATTGCAAATCTGACAAAAACTAACATCTACCTTAGCAATGGTGGCATGTCCGAGGATGTCATCTGGGGATGTTGGCTCCTCGATCCAGAGTGGCTTGAATTGCGCCAACTCTTTCATCCAGGTTATGGCTTCTGGTACATCCCACCTCTGATTACAATCCATCATCTGAAAGAAAATTGACTTTTGGATAAAATGTTTATGTAATTACAACATTCACACATATATAAACTAATGTAGAAGCATGCTATTAACAATACAAATAAAAAATTTAAGAAAACATAAAACAATAATGTATAATATAATAAGTGTACAAATCATGCCATCTGAAACTTCACTCAAGCAATTGATATATAAATATATATATATATATATAATTTTTTGATACCTTGTTTTTTAAAGTTCGTAGTTGGCAAATAGTTTTGCCAACGGTCAAACCAAAGTGAAAAAAAAAAAAATATCATTGTTGAATGTAAACAGTGTAGTAATAGGATGGTTAAATGCTCTAAATTTATATAATTTAGAATTGAAGGCCAAATTATTTTTTAGATTTGACGTCACAGGCCAAGCAACTTGATATACTTTATGGAGCTAAGGTAAAATTCTGAGATTCTGTGGCCGCAGACCCCTGTTGGCTGCACAGACCTTTGAGATTTTTTTGCAATTTCAAATTATATTCTATATTTAATTGTACTACAGCACAATATAAGGACACTAAATTCACTTCAATTTTTGCACAATAAGATTGATATGATATTTTGCCAAAATAATTAAGACACTTAATTTTCCACTATTTCTTGCTTATTGATGATCATTTTTTTTTTCTTGTGTAAAACCATCACAAAAAAATTTGGGCAACAGCAGGGGAGGAGTGATGTCCCATAACCTCTGAAGGGGTCTAGGGGGCAAAGCCCCCAAAAGCTCTAACAATTTAGTGATTTTAAATGCTTAAGGCCTGTAATTGATCTTACAGCCTCAGGGAATGTGTTCAGTTCTCCTTTGAGAGTTCTCTCTGATGGAAATCTGCCTCCACAACTGGCACCACCACTTAATTTCAATTCTCGCAAAATTAGAGTTTGTTGGGAACTGACAGTTTTAAGTAGCATTCAATTCAATTTAATAAAGAGGCCGAGGAGCTCCGACAAAGTAGAATTTTGAGACAGTATTTAATGGACTTCTGAAACACATAATTCATGAATATTCTATTTAAATTTTTACTTGTTTTGGTGTTGGTAGGCCCTGGTTTCAAACTATCATTTGCAATTCAAGTTAGAGTTGCCAAAATATTTTGCAGGGAGGGTGGATGTTTAATGTTGTCGGAGACTGGTAATAGAACTTGTCATGTCTTCCTTTCTTTGTGCAAGTGTAACTGTGTGCAAAATAGCGTTTCCTGAATTGAGCATTTTTCCACAAAGTAAAACTAGATATTTTTTTTTTCTATCATATTGACCTTGATTCTTATGTTTGCTTCTCATCGTTTACGCCTAACCAAATATTGTTATCCGCTCAGGTGTCAATACAACTCACTGGTAGGACTAATCCTGTATTCCCGAGTATTTTTAAACCAAACATGTTACAGGCATAATCATAACAAAAACACAGTAATTTTTTTTTTTTAATCAATCATACAAAGTTTGTTGAACTTAATAGTTTGGCACACAATAGGTATTTTCTGTGTAATTTCACCCATCCTATATCCACCAAATGCCAGGGATTCAAAGCCTAAAAACTCTTTGCCAGTATAATCTTGGGTCTACTCATAATAAAAACAAGTCTATGATCTTATAAAGGATTTTTTTATCTATGTCATATCTAGCTGAACTAAGACTACCAATCATTGGCATCTCTCGATTGGTTGGTAACAGATTTAATTTTAGATCTAGGTGCTGTGATTTGGCCTTCACTTTATTGAAAATAAGAATAATTTGCTTCGCGGGCCAAATTTGGCCCACAGGCCGCCTATTAAGAACCAGTGGCATGGAGACTGCTTTGTTGTTTGATACAAAGAAGAATGAAATTAAAAGCTATGGTGTGCAAACAATTTCTACTGAAGTTTGTTTTCGTAGAGTTGATGATTGAAATGCTTAATTTACCAGTGTATTCTGCCATCCAATTTCCTCACGCATCATTGCTGCTCTTCTTTTGTCATCTTCTATGTTAGCTCCAACTTTCATTTTGAATCTTGTCCAACCCTCAGAAAGAGCCTTTTTACATTTCTGTAGTACAAGATATAACAAAGTCAGGAATATTTTAGGATTGTCTCTACCATAGTAACAAGTATATAATTAATAAAAATATCAATTGCAACAAAATTGATATGTAGGAAAGGTATTGGATACATCATGATGTATTTGAAAGTGTAAGATGTCTTCAGAAACTAATTTACCTCTCGTAGAGTGTCATCCGAGTACCCAAGCCAAGCTGTGGAAGTTGTGTATGCTGGGTAGCCATTTTCTTGAAGAAACTTTTCTACACAAAATGCATGATAAAACATTAATTAAGAATGTATTGATTGAATGAAATGTATTTAAATACAAATAAGAACAAAAATATTTTAAATTATATCATTGATACAATCAAATTCATAAAAGTATAATTAACAGATCTTCCACATTAATAGTTAACATTTGAGCGTCTGGAAATTAGAATCTTGTACACCTGTATAATTACCATCTAGCATACTAGTATAGTTATATTTAGCAACACCTGTACAATATTGCATACCTGTATATTAAACATCTTCCATACATACATATTTACCATTTTTTTTACTATTGTCAACACTTATAGTAAGAGTATTTTGCTCGTATATAATATATGTTTTCTATACTATTGTATGATATTATTATTGTTGTTATCGTAACATATTTAAAATTATGTTTCATATCACCTCTATCCTTCTTGGTTGACTGCTGTTTCTGAAGCATTTCTATTGCCTCTTCTTTTGTTACAACATCAGTTCTAATATAAAATGAAAAGTGATGTTTAATAATGCATTACAAGGAAATCAAGAGAAAGAACTTCATTCATAATGGCAAATTATTTTTAAAATGAGACTAAAATGTGCATCATAAATCGAAATAATAGGGCTTAATTATAGAGAGTTATTAAATTATGAAAACATAAAGAGTATTTATATTATGTAAAATTTAAGAAAATAATAAAAAGTTCAAACTGGAAATACATACTTACATATAACGAAAATCTATACAAGAAACAAGCTGTTCTGGAGTCTATCGATAAAATTAAATCATAAATGGGTAATATATGGTATTAGCATTGGAATGGTATAGTATTGTGACATAGGTACTTGTGTAGTGATATATTAAACAACATTATGCTGCCCTTACCAGGCCTGTAACCAGCTTTGGTAATGGTGGGGGGGGGGATCTTTTTCAATCTGAGTGGAACTTTCGGGGTCCAGGGGTTCTCTCGAAAAATGTTAAAAACCATTCCAAATTCTCTTCTGGTGTTTTTGAGCTGCTTTCAAATGAATTTATACAATTTTCGTGAATTAAAACTGAATCAATTTGATATGTGCAAATATCGGCAGTAGGCAATACCGTTAGGAAGTCTACAGATAGAATCATATCATATTCATCATCATCATCATTTTCGTTGACTGTGCAGAACGTCTTTTGAGTATAGTCGCACATAAAAACTACAGTGCATGTCATAGGCTTATAAGGCAAGGGCACATATTGACAAGTGCATAAATCGCACTAAGTTGTGTTTTGTGCTGGTTTAGTAGAGCGGAACTTCCTATTCTGTGGGGGAATCGATAACCCCCTGGTTAAGGCCTGCTTACTCTGCCCATAACATGACGTTATGCAGTACGCGCAATGCGCATAAGATAGTTCACAGTGAACATGCCATTTTACTGTATAACATACAGTGTCATTGTAAAAAAACTTTGATGTTTTATATATATTTTATGAGTCAACTATCATTAAACTTGGTAGTACAGCATGATAGAATAGTCGGTAGTATGGTATGTCTTGTTTCACCTTATTACATTATTAATCATCACTTCATAAAAAAACACATGTACTTACCATATCTGTAAGAAGTTTCCACACAGGCTAAACAAAAAATAGAAATAGATCTTCTTAATGTACAGTGCTGTACTATGTGTATATGACAATTTCATCACTTTTCAGGTAAAGTTAATTATTTTAAATTTTACCTTTTGTTCTCGTTTACCATAAAGATCCCACAATGCATTGAGAATAGCAGCACAGGCCAAGTGTATAACTCCCTTTTCTGGACCAATCTATGTAACAACACATTGTAAGTTAGTCCACCTTCATATAGAGCGATGAAGATCAAGATGATTGTTTTTAATGACACTCCGTTCAGTCTGCCACCTGCTGGCGCCGCCAACAATGAGCGGGGTTGGATTTGCCGTCTACGATGCAGTGAACGCCTGGCTTAACAGCAAACAGTATAATACCGATTATCATCACGGAAACATTTAGACAAAATGGTCAATTATTATCAGAAGTGATCTAAATCACTACATGTATAAACAATTCTCCTTTCTGTATGATGAAACAATTAAATAATTATTTTCCAAAAATACAGAAAGTGCAAACAGAAACTATAATGAAAAATATGATAATGATGATGGTGAACACGTTTGTAGTGGTAATTGACCGGGTGCTGAAGAGGTGGTGACAAGCAGCAGCATAGAAAACAATCACATTAATAATAGTAGTTCTGTAAGTGGATGGTGATGTGAAGAGGAGTCAACCATTCAGATTGCAGATGTTATACCCATATATATATATATATAATAATAACTGCAGTGATAAAGAATCTACTCAACCCATCTTAATTGGGATTCGCTGGTAATTGTTCTCCAAAATCCTCCAAAGTCAGACACAATTTTAGCAAAATCTTGTCCAAGAACAAATGGTGACAATGCCTTAACAGTTTGACATACTGCAAAATATAGAAGAAATAGAATGTTGTGGCCACATGTTCTATTTAAACCCTGATAAAACAAAATTGTTTTTACGTTATGTATATTTTTCATTATGGTTAAGTCGTTAATTGTATTTGCTCTAGAGGTTATTAAGTTCATATGAACAGTATTAACAATAATTATCTCCATAAAAAATACCAGCTGGTTAAAAAAAACTCTAATATATGAAATTTATTATTCATCAGGATAAAATAACTCATTTACTCTCAAAGAAATCAGAAATCAGAAAACCACTTTGAAGAAATTCAAAATATTAGAAATTTGTATGATTTTTTTTATATCTGTACTCACTAACTTCAGTGCCTCTTCCACAGGTAAATGTTGGGCCATGTCCAAATAAGCCATCATTCACATTTGTACCAATAATCACATACGCACAAGAATAGTCCGGGTCTGTGTGCTTGGGAGAAAATTTTGAAAAAATAGTATCAAATAAAAGAGATCTGAAAGAAATACATAGTCTGAAAGTGTAATGTCATGATGAGGATCTTAGGTGTGGAAGTGCAGGGCTCTGAGCTGTATCCATCTACTGTTCTCAGTTCCAGTAGAAAAGAGTCTTGAAATAGAGTTGGAGAGGGCAAATGGGGGCAGCATAAAGGTGACCGGGCTCAATCAAGTTTAGGTGATTTTTAACTACTCAAACATTTTTTTTCTTAAAAAAATGTTCAGCGTGAAAAGGTGGCTGACTGGAGAAGGGATGCTGTTTTTGGGGATGTGCCCCTTTCATTTCAGCGCATCCCCTGGGCCTAGATAATGCCAATGCTTGGATGGTTGGTTCATGCACACAGGGCGAGAACAAATTGAGAAAATTTGACATTACTATTAATAGAAAAGATTTTAATTTTTTTTTCATACTTTTTTGAAAAAAAAAAAAACCAAAAAAAGCATAAATTAAAAATCATTAAAACTAAAAGAAAGGAGGTTCTACTACCACAGTAGGGCCTATGTGAAACTAGAGCGCCCCCTCTACATCGATAAACGTTATCGCATACGTTTGCAAACAAAACGTAAACATACATAGGCCTAGGCCTAGGCCAGGGCCTAGACCAGAAATAATTATTTTTTAATATTTGAGGTTTTATTGCAAAATTACATACAGAATAGAATACAGAATGCCGTAATCAGCATCTCATTGTATTTAATACAGCCTACTATCTCTATGCTATGTTACCCAATCAAGATTGTCTAGCCGATAGGCTTAGCTCCTTCTGTGCAGTCATCCACACGGACAAAATCGGTCGATCGATGTGATCTGATTCACATCATAAAGTACGGCCTAGCCTAGCCGCACTACTCACCATTGCGTCGGAGCCATGTCCTTCGAGAGATGTTGGGAAGCGAATATCTTTCACTTCTAATGATGATATAAGAACAGACATTATGTAAATTTACAAATAAAATAAATAGCGCTCTGTGTAACAAAAGCCTAGCCCTCTTCTTCGAGATCTTTCTCTTTGCAGGCAGATAAAAAGTAGCACGTGACTGCAGAGAGGTACCTGGATTTATATCATCGCGGTTTCGTTCCCAGGTGATTGGATAACTTTGTAACCATGGAGATTATCCATGTTGCAGTTACATCGGCTGAGAAATTATACCACAGTAGTTTATTGATTACAATAGGCTACTTTTAAGCCTAAGTCGTTCTGGTGGTAGAACAAGTCTTCTCGGATAAGGACTATAACCTAGGCCCAGTGTATGATTACAATGGCTCGTGTGCACTATATAAATAAAGAACCCAGTACATTTACATCCTTCGAGACGATCATAGGGGGATACCCCGGTGCTGGAACAGACAGCCCATAACGACAAGAGTTGCTGGTAGGCCTACTGGGTTACCGGGTAGCAGTGCACAGACACGAAGGGACCCTGGGGTGAAGAAAGTCATTGATCGAGTTCCTAGTCCACATATCAAGCGCCCTGCGTATCTTACATTAGATGGATATGTGCGCTATATAAAACTACACTATTATTATTATTATTATTATTATTATTATTATTATTATTATTATTATTATTATAAGATTAATAGTATTTAAATAATAACAATCGTGATATAATTAATATATATAGGCCTAGGCCTATATATATATATAATTGATAATAATAATAATAATAATAATAGGCCTAATTATTATTATTATTATTATTATTATTATTATTATTTATTATTATTGCCAAAGAAGGAACGATTTAACAGCTAAATTTTCAAAAACATCATTTCGTATCATCATCATAGCAAAAGCCTATATTTAATTACGTATAGTGTTGGCCTTAACGGCCCCAACAAGACATGTTTCGGTTGTACTACCACCATCATCAGTTATCGTATTGCACACAGGCAATAATTTGTATATATACTATAAGGGAAAAGAAAAATTCAATGTTTCAATTTGCATGCTAAGAAGTTGTGCAATTATCTATATATTAATTCTGCTAATCACCACCGCGTAACTTCCTCTATCTCCTCTGAAACCGCTGGCAGGAATGTGCTCATATCTCATACACTGGGGCATATGTCACGACCATAATTGGCTGGATATTGGATAACAACGAAAAAAAAACAGCCAGCCAAAAAACCACCGAAAATCAGTACCTGTTTCTCCATGTTTCGCAAGTTGCTTACGTCACGTAAATACAATTAATCATATTAATTATGTACTGCAATAATGCTTAGGTATAAAAAATATCGAGTCAGGCCGTAAAATATAATTCAATATAAAATCCTTTTACTGACTTATAAGTCACTGACTCTCAATCAACCCGCATACATTAATCAACTTCTTCCCAAATATGTGCCTGGCCGTTCCCTACGTTCATCTGATCTCAATTTAATTTCTGTCCCTCGCACCAACACTAAGACCTTCGGACACAGATCCTACGGCTGGGGGCGGGAAGAGCCCCGGGGGCGGGAGGTTGCGCATTCTGAACGTTTAAGGACTGTTTTGAGAGGATAAAGTGAAATTTATAATAGACGCATCATAAATAGGCCTAATATTAGTATGCCTTACAATTACAACAACTCAATAGTGGCGAATACAGAAATTCAAAAGAAAGGTGACCCAGGAAGGGACTTTCACAGACGGAGGGTCTAACCACTTCAGCCCCACCATGGTTGGGGCTAGGGTAAGAAAAGTTATGATTAGGGCATCTCTAGATGGCAAGAAATTACACTTTTAAACTTAAATTTTAAAATAATTTTCTTTTTTTCCATTAAAAAAAAACAGGAGGGGAAGGGGGGACCTTGAATCTACTTCTCCCTACTCAAAACATTATTTATCAAAAATAGTCATAATCACGGAAAATTGGCATGAAAGAATCCAGATCACATCCTGAAAACAAAATTATGCACCTTCCCCTTAGCAGTTACTGAGACATACTCTGAGTCACGTGCCGACTCGATAATGTCTAATGTCATATACCCAGGGAAGGGCGCAGATCTGCCTTGAAAGGTGTGGGGTAGGGAGACATTTCATGAGTGCACACCCACCTCAGTCCCACCATTGTTGGGGCTGAGTTGCGAAAATTTAAGAAAATAGTACATCTAGATATGGCCAGAAATGACACTTTTAGCAAAATTCATCGTCATCATATTATCACCATTATAATAGTCAAAATAAAGCGCCAACTAATTTTTCATGATTTTTTTTTATCACAGATTTTACCATAGAGATCTTATTAATATGTGTGATGTACCATAGAAAATAAAGCTTAAAAACATTGTCTTTGATGCATGTATATTACAACCACCTTAGCCCACCATGGTTGGGGCTGAGGTTGTTTTAGGAAATACAATAATACCTCTAGATGGCTGGAAATGACACTTTTAAATAGTAAAATTTATCATCATTGTCACATCACTACAAATTTCTCATGATCTTTTAGCAGGGATTTTCGGCAACCATAGAGATTTTTAATATCCATGACAACTTTGGTACTAAGTTTCAACTACTATATAATAATTATGGTGGACAAATCACAACTTTCCTTTTCGCCTTCAGCACAATTTTTAATATTATTAATATTATCATAATCACCAACGTCGACATCATCATCATCATCATCGTCATCATCATCGACATTATTATTATTATTATTATTATTATTATTACTACTACTTTAGTAGTATAAACAAAACTTTATAAATGCTTGCAAAAGGATAACAATCAAACTGAACCATACCATATCACATTTCTGTATTTTAAAAGACATGGCATGGGATTTATGGATTTTTTTTGTTAAGTAAGTTTGCTAAATCCACTCATTGAGCAGTAGCCGTTATAAACCCGGAAATTTATTTTTTGTATTATCGTGTACAGTGAAAAATTTATTAATCTAATGAATATTCCACTGGGTACAGTTTAGTGACTTTTGTTGAAGTTTATGGTGGGTTTCTATTAGAGCACGGGTCACAAACCTATAGTAGAAGGAGTCAATTAGAAATTGTACAGCAATCAACACCAATGTGCTGATGCATATTTACATATTTTAGAGATTCATTTTGAGTGATGCCAGGAAAGAATTTGTAGGCCTATTGGCTAACAAGAACAAGCTTTAAAATTCTAACTCTTTACAAAAAGTGGGAGCCAAGGCTCCCCCTTGAATACGTCCCTGGCAGATCATGGGGACGCGCTCGTAAATGGGGGCCCACATCACCCATTTCCCATGTTATACAGTTTTCCCTCTTGGCGGCCCTTGTGATGTGATGATGATGAATGTTACTAGGAGTGTCATTTCCGGCCAATTAGAGCATGGTTAGAGGTACAAACTGTAGGCCCAATATTTACCAAATGTTCGCGCCTCAGCTCCAACCATGGTGGGGTTGAGATGGTTGTGGACTCGCAGCTTTAAGTAGGTAAAGTAAATACATAAAAGACAATGTTTTAAAGTTTTATTTTCTATGGTACATCACACAGATTATTTAGATCTCTATGACTGCCGGAAAATCTTGCTAAAAGATCTTGAGAATTTTGTTGGTGCTTCATTTTGACTGGCAAATGTGACTGATGATGCATTTTGCTATACAGTATATGAGTGTCCTTTCCAGCCATCTTGAGGTACTATTTTTCAAATTTTGTACCATGGGGGGGGGGGGGGGCTGAAGTTGATATGGACTCACGGTTTAAAATAGGTAACATAAAGTAAATACATCAAAGACAATGTTTAAAGGCTAATTTACCATGGTACATCACACATATTATTAATTAGATCTCTAGTGTGGTTGCCGAAAATCGCTGATAAAAGATCATGAAAAAAATTGTTGGTGCTTCATTTTGAATATAAGGGTGATGTGATGATGATGAATTTTAGGCCTACTATATTAAAGAGTGTCTTTCCAGTCATCAGAGAGTACTTGGTATATCCATGGAGGTATTTTTATACCTATTTTATACCTCCATGTTATATCCTAAAATATTCGCACCTCAGCCCCAAGTACGTGGGGCTGATGTGGATGTGGTCTTATGGAATATCCCCCCCCCCCTTACCCACCTTTCAAAACAAATCTGCGCCCTTGATAATTGATACTAACAATTCTAGGAGGCCTAAGTAATTGTCAACCCACGTTTATTGAGATTTAGCATTTTCCATCTGTAAATATTTTGATTTGGTATTTCCCACACCCACATTGATATATTATAAATTGATGTTAAATCGATGGATTAAAATTAAAATTAATTCGCAACATATGAATACACTGACGTCATACGCATTGGTATCACGCAGCTATCCAGATGGTTAAATATTCGGAAGTAGATATCAACAATACAACGATTAGGGCCTACTTCCGATAGACTCCGTTCCATTCATGCTCGTTCTTACCTTTCTCTATAAATCAGCTAATCAAAAGTATCTAATGCCGCCTTATATTTTGAGCCAGTAGAATATTGTCATTAATCAACGCTCATAAAGTTACAGACTTGTTTTTAGCTACAACAAAAAAACATAAACAAATTTATACTGTTTGTTTCTAACGTTATTGGTTGGTTTGTTGATTAGCTGTTGGTTGGTTGGTTTGTTTGTTGATTAGCTGTTGGTTGGTTGGTTGGTTGGTTTGTTTGTCGGTTGGTATATTGATTGGTTGTTTGGTTTGCTTGCTGGTTGCTATGTTGTTTGTTTGGTTTAGGTCGTTGGTTGGTTCATGGTTGGTTTGTTAGTTGGTCAGTCACCGTAGTTGACTGGTTGGTTCGTAGTAAACGCGTTTATGAACTTATGTATCTTGTAAAAAATGGCAAACACACAAATATAGAACAGGTTGACTCCAAAATTGTTTACGTAAACTCTGCAATTTAATTGTAGGCCTACTTGAAGATGAAGTTAATTTCAATTTGTCCCTTTCTTAGTTCAGAAACGCTTTATTCCTGACTTTTTGTATTCTTACTTACATCGATAAACTTTATATGGATGCTAACTGAGAAATACCCGAAAACAGATAGGGTGAGAATTGCACATGACAGGGGGGAGGGGGGGGGCAGAATAGATTGTTTCTCAGCTTCTTGGGCAAGCCTTCGTCCTGGTGGCGACAACGGCTGAACGGTGATGATGATATCAAATTAACACAAAAGTTTCAAATTATGTTTATTCTGCTCATGAAATACCATTATTATCTTGCAACATAGAATATCTGTGTAGTAGTGGGGGCCATGTGAGAAATAAAGCCCGTCTACGGGAACGAACAAAGGCCATGTTAAGCTTATGTATAATATTATAGGCATA